TATAGGGGCTGCTGGGGGTAACGCAGCGATATACGAACAAAAGCTGACACATGGAATACCAGTGCTAGAAGAAGGGCATTTTTCATTAAAGGTCCAATCGGAAAAGGATCTGAAAAATACAATAAATTATAGCCTGAGATGGGACAATAAGAGCAAAATGAACTTTAAAAATGATAAAATACCGACAGATTGTTTCTGAAACAATATTGTTTCAGACAACGGAACAATGCTTTTCTCCAAGAGGGACGACCCCTCAAAATTTTAAGGGTGATGGACGATTACATCACTTCAGTATTTTCTGTTTCTTCAACTTTTGTCTCGACTGAAAAGCCTACGTGTAGGCGAAATGTTTCAAAATAAAGATCCCTAACTGTTGCATATGTTCTTACCAAACAGAGCAAATGAAATTTTTTGGTTCCTTAAGCAAACACAACAGAAAAAGCTGGAGAGAACTCTGAAGCCCCCCCCCGTTTAAACCCTGAGGCCGCATATATTCCACTGTAAATAGGCCTGATTGGCAACGAAAAGATACCTGAAACCGCAGGTAAGGGTTCCAACTGACTAGGGGGGTTAGATTACCACATGGGAGGCAGCAGAAAACTTTCAAGCAGCGAAGAATGGAGTGCGCAAGAAAAGGTGCGCAATGGAGGGGGAGAAAAGAACAGAGGGTGGACATGTCCTTTGGGTTTGGTCTCTACAAAAATTTTCAGAGATTGCTTCAAGCTTTCAAAATTCAGAAATCGTTGGGAGACAATACTGGAATGGTGGGGGGGAGGAGAGTAAAGATAGAACTGTAAGGGACTGAAACCAATGTAGGGGGGGGGAGGAAAAAGGGGTGGAGGGAACTGGAGAAGAAGTGGAAGGGGACAGAAGGGGCAGAAACCGGGAGGGGGGCAAAAGGGGGAAAGAAACTTGGGGGGGAACAGGGAGGAAGGTACAGTCAGGAGGGGGGTAACCCTAAACTGTAACAGACCCATGGAGGGGAAAACCAGGTACAGAGACGGGAAAAGTAAAAGAGGGGGGGAAAAAGGGGAAGGGAGGGGTTAAAGCCCTTTTTTTTTGACTTCGAGAAGGGGGGACATTGGGAGGGTGGCGTAAAAAATCTCGTCGATACCGAGGCTTGTGGGGGAGAAAAGGAAAAGCAAAAACAGACTGGGGCATTGAAGTAGGGACATTAGCCTAGGACAGCAAAAAATTGGGTACGGATGATTTGGGAGAATAACCACATAACCCCAGAGGGGGCTGCAGAAGATGGGACCCAGAAGTGGGGGGGGCGTTTTTAAAACTGGAATAAGAAACACGAGGTAGTCTCCCCCTTTGGGGCAGAGATGAGAAAAGCAATGGCATAAGGGAGACCTTCTGCCTCTTTAGGAACGGTTTTTTTGCCATTTAAGAACTTGGCAATGGGGGGATACGAAGGGGCGAGCCTCATGACAATTAAGGCAAAAAGGGGGTTGATTGCAAGACGTATTTAAAAGGTCATCGGCCCCCCACAGACTGGGTATTCGGCTACAGATCTGCAATATTTCACTGGATGGCCCAAATCGCCAGCAATTTTTTTCACTGTTTGCAGTGAGGGATCGCCTTTCAAATTTGTAACCAATGTCCTGCTCATAAACTGAGGATGGGAGTTCACGGCTGTCAAAAGTTAAACAAGCCACATTGCTAGGGTATTGTCTCCGCCTGGGGGCAGGAAGAACATAAGTGTCTACCTTAAGGATTGGGAGATCTTGGAGTTCCAGCTGTTTCAAGAATGTCATTGCCACATGTCTGGAAATTTTGTTGAACTATGGTATGGGGCAAATGATGGTACCACTACAAGAATTGAGGGAATGATGTTTTTCAATAGTGACAGGAACAGTATCGATATGGAAAAGAAGAGAAAGATCATAAGCTTGGGTAGCATTCTGTACAGTGATGATGCGTGTACTGCTCTTAAGAGCATGAAAAAAATACCCTTTCCCAAACCCATGGCATGGGAGTGCCTTGCCAATACTATGGTCAGAAAGATTGGCAATAGAGAATCGGTCGTAAAGTGGAAGAATTTAGTCCATTGTGCATTCTGAAACTGAGCGTGGAAAGGGATGCAGGACATGTCAATCTTTTCTGAGAAAAAACGAAAAGGTGGAGAAGTATCATCATCAGGTAATTGTCGTTGGCGTTTAGGTGGGGACCCAGTTGGTCCGACATGGAACGCGCCGGCGATTCGAAATTGCCGCACCATAGAGGGAGAGGCCAGAACCATAGCAAAGGAGAGGGGAGGTCAGATAAAATCGAAGGAGTCAGTCGAGACCTCAGTACCTGAAGTGGGTGAGGAAACAGCACCGGCAAGAAGTACAGAGGCATTAGGAGTGTCCGAAAGCAGCCCCAAAGACGAGGCGGGGTCAAAACGGGGTGTGGAAATCAAGAAGGGGCCGGGGGTAGGAGGTTCATGGACTAGGGCTTCCATGGTTATGTTACGTCATTCTTTTTGTTTTTAAGAAAAAAAAAGAAGAAAATAAAAATAAAAAAAAGAATAAAAAAAGAAGGGACCGGGGAGGGATAGTTCCTAGGAGGAATGAAAGGGCCAGAAATCTCTCTCCCACCGCCAAGAGGACCTCAGCACCGCAAGTAGTGCAGATGCACATGGAACCAGTCTCATACCCACCCATCATGCCAGTAAACCAGCAATCTGGGATAGCAACCTCACATCTGCCGAGCTACCTCGGTGGACAAAAGAGAAGGCGGCCAGATATCCGCCACAAAGCATACCTCCTTCGGCCACCGCTTCCGGAATCTGAAAGGTGGCTTCCAGAGATACACCCGTCGCCCAAAAGAAAAACCCAAGCCACCCTCGGGGGTACCGGAGAGGATCGGGACACCCCCAGGCGATCCAGATTCCATGGCAAACTACGTCACCACCAAGAACCTCAATAGAATGGGATGGACCCCAGTACCTTTTCCCCTATCTAGGAACTAGCGCACCTGTGGGAAAAATCCCAAAGGTCAAAAAGAGGAAGGGCAAAAGGGATGAAGTGGGGAGGAGGAAGAGGAAAGGAAAAAAGGGAGGATGGGGAGAATGGGATAGGGAAGGGGGGATTGGGGGTAATTAGGTTCAGTCTGAGGAAGAGACCAACAGGTCTAATTCCTCAGACCAAGACCCCTTTTCACCAAGCCAAGGAGCCCCCCTTGAAGAGGTATTCTTAGCATAAAAATTTACATTTGTTCTTCCCAATTATTACGTTTTATATTTCCTTTAAGGGAAAAAGGAGATGTAAAACTAGAAAGAGAAAGGCGCTCCCTATACAGGCAAAGGCAAAGAATAACAGAGGGGTTTAAAAAAGAGGCCAACAAATCTGTAATATGTATGGAGACACTGGACAGAGAAATAGCAAACACTGAATTTCAGCTAAAGGAATCTTAGGGGAGTCAAGAATGTGGGAAGAACTTAAAGCCATAAATAAAATTTTGAAAGAAACCCAAAATATTTATTTTGTTATGCCAAATCAATGTTGAGAACATCCAGTATTGAGCACCTACTTAAATTGAGAAAAGGGTCCTACACAGATGATAGCAAGGAAATGAGTGACTACTTAATCCCAGTATGACTGAGAGTTGAAGACCTAAATGATTTTTTTTATATAACAGAATTTTGTAAACTCAAACCTATCTGATATTATGCTGAAGCCAAATGACTTCAAAAAGGCACTCCTACAACTCTGTTATGGTATATCCCTATTATATATTCTCATGAGTTTATAACTAAAATATTCCTGAAACATTAACACTAACATGTTTTATCTCCTGAATGTACTTGCGAATGTCTCACAAGATGACCTTTTATGCTAAAACATCTGAGACACTCAGCACATTGATATGGTTAATCTCCTGTAATCACCTAGTTGTACTCACCTAGTTGTGGTTGCAGGGGTCAAGTCCTGTGTGTCCTCTCATATGTCTCACAAGTTTCCTTTTTTCAATAAAACATTTCAGACACTCTGAACATTGATATGGTTTCTCTCCTGTATGTACTCTCACATGTGTCACAAGATTGCTTTTTTGACTAAAACATTTCAGACACTCTGAACACTGATATGGTTTATCTCCTGTATGTACTCTCATATGTGTCACAAGACTGCTGTTTTGACTATAACATTTCAGACACTCTGAACATTGATATGGTTTATCTCCAGTGTGTACTCTCATATGTTTCACAAGATTGCCTTTCTCAGTAAAACATTTCAGACACTCTGAACATCGATATGGTTTCTCTCCTGTATGTACTCTCATATGTGTCACAAGACTTTCTTTTTTACTAAAACATTTCAGGCACTCTGAACATTCATATGGTTTCTCTCCTGTATGTACTCTCATATGTATCACAAGACTTTTTTTTTCGCTAAAACATTTCAGGCACTCTGAACATTCATACGGTTTCTCTCCTGTATGTACTCTCATATGTTTCACAAGACTGCCTTTTATACTAAAATATTTCAAACACTCTGAACACTGATATGGTTTCTCTCCTGTATGTACTTTCATATGTATCACAAGATTGCCTTTTTCAGTAAAACACTTCAGACACACTGAGCATTGATATGGTTTCTCTCCTGTATGTATTTTCATATGTGTCACAAGACTGCCTTTTTGACTAAAACATTTCAGACACTCTGAACATTGATATGGTTTCTCTCCTGTATGTACTCTCATATGTCTCACAAGAATGTTTTTTTGACTATAACATTTCAGACACTCTGAACATTGATATGGTTTATGTTCCATATTTTTTAAATGAAGGTATTTCATTTGAAATATTTTAGTCATACAACTGTGGTATAGTTAATCTTCCTTGTGCACTCAAATGTCTATTTCATGGCTTTTTTTTTAATTATTTTGGACACTGAACACATGGTTTTCCTTATGAAAAAATCCCATGTTATGATTTATTTAGGCAAAACTTTTCCTACTTATGAGCGCTAATAAAGTTTATATTGAGTCAAAACACTATCATAATTTTTGTTTTGCGTTAAAATATTAATAAATATACTAGAACACTGCAGATATATTCAACATTTTTATTATTATTTGCTCTTGTGTTTAAACAAATTTTTCTAAAAATGGGGTTTTAAATTTTGGAATTACTAACTTTTTTTTTTTTTTTTCATTAACACTTTGAGGGGTTCAGACCCCCAATTTGAAAATTCCCCACAAAGTCCAAGATTCTAAAAAAAAAAAATAAATTTTTTTTTAAATAAAAAAGGGTAAAAAAAATTTTTTTCTAAAGGGAAAATAAAGCAAAAAGTTTTAAAAATTTGATAAAGAATTTATGAATTTTATGCTCCCTTAAATTTTTCCTGTGAAAGCAATATTTACCATTGGCAATTTTCCGCTTTGAGTTTGGGTTTTTGGCCAGTTACATTGCTCCATTAGCCCAAAATTTTCTTATCTTTTTTGCTAGTATGTTTTTTCCCTTTCATCTATTAAGCAAAAAAATTCCCCAAATCAACTATTTCAACTGCCCAAAAAGGGAGATAGAAATTGGAATTGGGAAAATTTTTCAAAACAGAGTTCAAAATATTCAAATTTCAAAATGGGGGTTCCGAAGAAAAAAAGCAGGCATTCCTGGCCAAAAACTCTTTTCCCACTTTATTAGTTACATTTCCCCGGGGTTTACAGATGAAAATTTTATTTGATTTTTTAATCACAGATAAATTTTTATTCCCCCAACACACACAAAAAAAAAAAAATTTTTTTATTCAGTATTTTTAATAAAATTTTATTAAAAAAATATCGAGCATTCAAACAATGGAAAATCTGACCCCCCATCTGGGCATGTATTGGACGCGGGGATGCGATTTGTTTTAACCCCCTAAATCGGCAAAAAAAAACAAATTTTTTCTATTTTTGAGTCAATTTCAGGCTATTCTTAGTGATAAAACCTAAAAAAAATCAATTTTTGTAATACATTTTTTTCCAAATTTTATCACAAGAGAAAAAAAAAAAAACCCGGAATGCTTTCCATAAAAAAAATATGAAAATAAAACCAAAAATTTTTCTGTTTTAATCCAAAAAAAAAAGTCTTTTTTTTTTCATTATGTACTTTGGGCTGCAGGATTTGTTTTAAATGGGGGTCACACTTACCATGTTGATGCCCTTCTCTATATTTAGGCCCAAAATTTTCTGCTCACAGAATAACGGTGAGCTGAGCTCAGACGTAGTACTTTCAGCTTGGGCCCTGGGGTTAAAAACCCGAAAAACTACAAAAAAGGACCCCAAAGAATTAACTGCCATGCATTTTTAGATAGAATTCCCAAAAAGAAAAGCAAAATAGTTTAATTAGTAATACTTAGCTAGTTAAAAATTCACAAGAATAACAGATGTTGCCTTTCTTGAAGTACTGAAGATATAGTGTCTGGCAAGACACAACCTGGTAGTCTTCCACAAAATACTTCTGCAATATCAGTTGTTGTTCAAGACACTTACACTGGTGCTTCTTGAAGTACTGAAGATATAGTGTCTGGCAAGATACAACCTGGTAGTCTTCCACAAAATACTTCTGCAATATCAGTTGTTGTTCAAGACACTTACACTGGTGCTTCTTGAAGTACTGAAGATATAGTGTCTGGCAAGATACAACCTGGTAGTCTTCCACAAAATACTTCTGCAATATCAGTTGTTGTTCAAGACACTTACACTGGTGCTTCTTGAAGTACTGAAGATATAGTGTCTGGCAAGACACAACCTGGTAGTCTTCCACAAAATATTTCTGCAATAGAAACATGAGTCAGTATAGTATAATATTTTACAATTACCAACACAACATATTGAACTAAAATAATTTTTGATCTACTGTCACATGTTTCACTAAATAAAATTGTCCCTTTTAAATGTTTATCTGTACAGATCTTCAAGATAAATCACAAATTGTGTATGGATAGATCACAGACATCAGTAGGTGGTGGTAATGGTGGTGACAGTGGTGGTGGTGGTGCCACAGCCACACAGCATGACGCAACAGCCCAGGTTGGGATCCACGCGGCTGACTCATAAGGTCCAGGATAAAGCGGAGCATCATCCACCCCCACACCACAACCAAAACTACAACCACAACCAGCTTATGGTGTGCAGGATCCACCAGCAAACTGCATCTGGGATTGGCAGCAAAATCCTAATTTTGTTCCCAATCCCCATCAGCTTGATGACACTCGAAGTGGAACCCTGCCAGCTTGTTCCTCTGGAAACACTGCAAATGAACTGGAATTCCTTGAACTATTATTTGACCAGCCCTTGATGGAAAATATTGTCAGGGACAGTATTCTGGGTACACCATGGCAAATAGAATCATATCACCACAGTCAAGACTACACCAGTGGAAAGAGACAACTGTGGTTGAAATGTATTTGTTTTTTGCAACAATAGTAGGTAGTAGGTAGGTAGACAGCAACCACCCAGGGAAGTACTACCGTCCTGCCAGATGACTGTGAAACAAAAACCTGTAACTGTTTTGCATGATGGTAGGATTGCTGGTTTTCTTTTTCTGTCTCATAAACACGCTAGATAACAGGGATATCTTGCTACTCCTACTTACACTTTGGTCACACTTCACAGACACGCACATGCATATATATATATACATACATCTAGGTTTTTCTCCTTATTCTAAATAGCTCTTGTTCTTTTTTATTTCTTCTATTGTCCATGGGGAGTGGAAAAGAATCTTTTCCTCCGTAAGCCATGCGTGTCGTTATGAGGCGACTAAAATGCCAGGAGCAATGGGCTAGTAAACCCCTTCTCCTGTATACATTTACTAAAAAAGAAGAAGAAGAAAAACTTTATAAAACTGGGTTGTTTAAATGTGCGTGGATGTAGTGTGGATGACAAGAAACAGATGATTGCTGATGTTATGAATGAAAAGAAGTTGGATGTCCTGGCTCTAAGCGAAACAAAGCTGAAGGGGGTATGGAGAGTTTCAGTGGGGGGAAATAAATGGGATTAAATCTGGAGTATCTGAGAGAGTTAGAGCAAAGGAAGGGGTAGCAGTAATGTTAAATGATCAGTTATGGAAGGAGAAAAGAGAATATGAATGTGTAAATTCGAGAATTATGTGGATTAAAGTAAAGGTTGGATGCGAGAAGTGGGTCATAATAAGCGTGTATGCACCTGGAGAAGAGAGGAATGCAGAGGAGAGAGAGAGATTTTGGGAGATGTTAAGTGAATGTATAGGAGCCTTTGAACCAAGTGAGAGAGTAATTGTGGTAGGGGACCTGAATGCTAAAGTAGGAGAAACTTTTAGAGAGGGTGTGGTAGGTAAGTTTGGGGTTGCCAGGTGTAAATGATAATGGGAGCCCTTTGATTGAACTTTGTATAGAAAGGGGTTTAGTTATAGGTAATACATATTTTAAGAAAAAGAGGATAAATAAGTATACACGATATGATGTAGGGCGAAATGACAGTAGTTTGTTGGATTATGTATTGGTAGATAAAAGACTGTTGAGTAGACTTCAGGATGTACATGTTTATAGAGGGGCCACAGATATATCAGATCACTTTCTAGTTGTAGCTACACTGAGAGTAAAAGGTAGATGGGATACAAGGAGAATAGAGCATCAGGGAAGAGAGAGGTGAAGGTTTATAAACTAAAAGAGGAGGCAGTTAGGGTAAGATATAAACAGCTATTGGAGGATAGATGGGCTAATGAGAGCATAGGCAATGGGGTCGAAGAGGAATGGGGTAGGTTTAAAATGTAGTGTTAGAGTGTTCAGCAGAAGTTTGTGGTTACAGGAAAGTGGGTGCAGGAGGGAAGAGGAGCGATTGGTGGAATGATGATGTAAAGAGAGTAGTAAGGGAGAAAAGTTAGCATATGAGAAGTTTTTACAAAGTAGAAGTGATGCAAGGAGGGAAGAGTATATGGAGAAAAAGAGAGAGGTTAAGAGAGTGGTGAAGCAATGTAAAAAGAGAGCAAATGAGAGAGTGGGTGAGCTGTTATCAACAAATTTTGTTGAAAATAAGAAAAAGTTTTGGAGTGAGATTAACAAGTTAAGGAAGCCTAGATAACAAATGGATTTGTCAGTTAAAATATAGGAGAGGAGAGTTATTAAATGGAGAGTTGAGGTATTGGGAAGATGGAGGGAATATTTGAGGAATTGTTAAATGTTGATGAAGATAGGGAAGCTGTGATTTCGTGTATAGGGCAAGGAGGAATAACATCTTGTAGGAGTGAGGAAGAGCCAGTTGTGAGTGTGGGGGAAGTTCGTGAGGCAGTAGGTAAAATGAAAGGGGGTAAGGCAGCCGGGATTGATGGGATAAAGATAGAAATTTAAAAGCGGGTGGGGTTATTTTTTGGAGGGGTTGGTGCAATTAATTTATAAAGTATGGAAGAGGGAAAGGTACCTCGGTTGGCAGGAGCATGATAGTTCCTTTGATAAAGGAAAAGGGGGGAATAAAAGAAGTGCAAAAATTTTGGGGGATAAGTCTGTTGAGTGTCCCTGGAAAGTTTTGGGTTGGTTAAATTGAAAAAATTTAAAGTTTTAAAAACGGAGAAAGGTTTTGCAGATGAACGGGAGGCTTTGGGAAAAGGTGGGGGGTGTGTGGCCCAGGTGTTTACATTTTGAAATAAAGGAACAGTATTTAGATAAGGCAAAAAGGGTCTTTGTGGCATTTATGGATTGGAAAAGGGTATGACAGGGTGGATAGGGGGGCAATGTGGCAGATGTTGCAAGTGTATGGTGAAGGGGTAGGTTACTGAAAAAAAGTGAAGAGTTTTTACGAGGATAGTGAGGGTAATTAGAGTTGTAGAAAAGGGGAAAATTTTTCCCAGTAAAAGTGGCCTTAGACAAAAATGTGTGATGTCACCCTGGTTGTTTAATATATTTTTTAGATGGGGTTGTAAGAGAAGTAAAAAAGCGAGGGTCTTTTGGCAGAGGCGTGGAGTTAAAGATAAAGAATCACACACAGGGTGGGGAGTTTCACAGCTGTCTTTGTGATGACACTGTTTCTTTGGGGGGAAATTTTGAAAAGAAGCTTTTTCAGAGATTGGTGGGTGAATTTTTGGTAGGGTGTGCAAAAGAAGAAA